GACCCCGGGCTGCAGCGGCCCAGGCGCCCGGCGCCGCCGTCCGAGGGTCGCCCCCGGAGGCGGGGAGGACGCGTCCGCAGGGGCCTCCTCCCAGGCCGCCTCACCTGGCGTAGTGCACTCGCGGGGGGTCGTGTCCCCCTGGGGGAAGACCTTTGGGACTAAAGGGAACAGCGGCGGCCCCGGGAGGTGGGCGGCGGACTTTTCCTTCGTCGAGTTGCGCCCCCAGCGCACGGCAGGACCCTCTGCCGCCCCCGGGCAGCCTCGTGGCCTGGGATGGGTTAGAAAGCACCGCGCTGCGCTTCACCGCTGGAAACGGGAGTGAAGATCCCTTTAATACGGTTCCAGGAGGAGGGCTCGGTTAAGCATCTCACATATGTCGTTAACCGCAGAGGACTCAGTGACATTAGGGACCTCCTGTTCACACGAGACCACTCAGCAGATGCTGTGTGAGCACCTGCTCCCTGCCAGCGTCGTTCCAGGTGCGGGGAACAGGGCGAGACTAAGACAGGGTCCCTGCTTGCATGGAGCTTGTGTTCTGGTTGACCAGTACATGTAATTTCCTTTTATGCTTTTTATTGGAATATAACATGTACAAGAAAATATACAAATCGTAAGTTGTAACTTGTCGATTTATCATAAACAAATCTTTTAACCACCACTCAAATCAAGAAACGGAACACTCACAGCATCTTAGAAGGTCTCCCTGGAGAGCGCTCCCAACACCGCTCCCTCCCCCACCCCCAAGATAACCTGTTTCCTGATTTCTAACACCATAGATTAGTTTTGCCTGTTTATGAGACTTTCATAAATGGAACCATGCGATATATATTCTTTTGTGTCTAGCTTTTTTTACTCGAAATTATATTTGTGAAGTTGTTCCAGGTTGTGTGAAAATATAATTTCTGATAGTGAAAAGAATTAGGAATAAAATTAGAGAAGGTAATTGTGCAAACAGTAAGAGGTGGAAACTTCACAAGAGTGGTCCGTGATGATCTTCGGGGGACGACTTGAGATGTAACATGAACGAGAGGAGATCTGCCAGTGAGCTGGCTTAAGAGCATTCCAAGCAGGGGAAGGAGAAGTGGAAAGGAGCTTAGGTGTGAGTGAACCTGGCAGGTGCCCGGAGGAGAAGGAAGCTCTTGTGGGAAGGTGAGAGGATATGAAGCTGGAGAGGGGGCAGGGGTCAGCTCACAGAGGGCCTGATGGCTGGGGGATGTGGATTGTGTTCTAAGTGTATTAGGTGTCAGGAAGAGAGGCTTTTGATGCCTTTCAGTTTTTAGCGTGAGCCACTTGAGGATGGGAAGGCGTGTCTGTTTTACACAACAAAGAAATCTACAAAAGTGGCAATACTGGGCAACTGTTGGGAATCAGGAAAGGTTAACATGCTGGGAGACTGAGTCTTCTTTGTATTGTCAGGATTTGTATTAATGCAGACACATAATATGCTTCCAAAATCAGAATGAGAAGACACTTCAGAAATTAGTCATCTGTCCTACACTCTAGAAATATTCTTGTCCAGTGGTTGCTCGGTTTCTGTTTGAACCTGTTCTCAAGAGGAAGCTCGTTTCATTTTTGGGCAGCTCTCATTGTTAGAAAAGCTTTTCTAATATTTAATCAAAACACCGTAACATTGGTCATCAGTTCCATGTCCATACAGAACTCACAGTTGTCATCTGTTACCTGTTGCCTCCTTTTCAGTACTCACGCAGTTGACTTTCGTTGGTTTGTTTTTTCACATTTAAGTGCAGAACTTTGAATTTATTTGAATTTATCTGTCATGGTTTCTGGAGTTAGATTTAGTCCATCGTGGATGTTGTCCAGACCTTTTTGGATGTGATTCTTTCATCTGTCAGTTAGCTGGCCCTTCCATTGTTGTGCTCTGAGTGGACTTGACCAGCGTGGTATTAGTTAAGCATGATGTTCTTTTTAAGTTAGTCAGGATTATGAAGTGTTACTGGTAGTCTTATTTTTGTTACTTAAGGTTCCTGGGGAACTACTTAAATATCGTTATCTAGAACTGTGGAGAATGGATTTAACTTGCTCATATTGGTGATTTAAGTTTTCAAGATAGAATATTAGTTAAGCTATATATATATTTTTTTTTTCTGAGGAAGATTCGCCCTGAGCTAACATCTGTGCCGATCTTCCTCTACTTTGTATGTGGGTCACCACCACAGGATGGCCGCTGACAAGTGGTGTAGGTCCATGTCCGGGAACCGAACCCAGGCCACGGAAACAGAGCACACCAAACTCAACCCACTGGGCCACGGGGCCGGCCCTGAGTTAAGCTATATTTTAAAATCCAGGAATTAGCATTTATAAATTCAGTTTTAAACATGATATCTCAGCAGAAAATAGAGTGTTGTATACAGTTCTGGAATAAATAGTGCAGAATGTTGATAAAAGGGGCTTTTCAAGTTAGACTAAAACAGAATTTGAATAGTTTATAGTGACCTGTAACCTGTGTCAAACGCAGAATCAACATTGGAAAGGGATTTAATTTTAATTTTTCCTCTTACCTTGCCTCTGTGATAGAACTTCTAGTGAACAGTAAAATGATCAAAGGTGGATGCAATAGGAGGGAGGAAAGAGAAGGGGAATTTACATGATCCAAATGTGAATAATATGGTTACAGGGCCTTATTCAATGCTTTGAGTCACTCTGCCTGGTTGAGATGCTAGACTTCATTAGTGCTGGAGTTGTCCTTTGCTATTAAGCAAGAAAATATTTTGCCCAATAGGTAGAATGTGCCAGTTTTTCCCTAAATCTTTCAGTTGATTTGTTAATTGTATTTTTCTGAATATATTTAAGTTAAAGTATATCCTGTGGTTAAGATGGCCCACCATTTTTCAAAGCTTTTTACTTTTAAACCCCCCAACCCAAGGAAAAAACTTAAAAAAATGTAAGTAGTTAATTGCATTTTACTGCTTTTGTATTTTCTCCTAAGAGTTGGGGCTATTATTGATTCTTGTAAAGGTTTGTAAGATGGAAAGTTGGTGTGGTTAGTGCAAGTATATTTTGGAAGAAAAGAAGGAAAAATCAAACTACATAAATTACTTCAGTGGAAGACTTTCTCAAACTAAATAGATAAAATTCCTCTTTCTCTCTGTACCAAAGATAAATGCCCACTTTGTTTACCTTTGTGGTCTCATTTCTGCCTGTAGATGAACATCTCTAGATAGAATTGACTGTTCTACTGTCTGCCTATCTGTTGTTTTTCTTCACTCAGAAATACTCTCTTGTAAGAGCAGATCCTTACTTATCTTTAGATCCATGGAGGCCCATTTTACAGGGAGAGCTACCTTTTGAGGAATATTTCCCAATTAGAGGACTAGGGAATAAGGAACTTAAAACTACCCCCTTTCCTCCGTGTTCGTCCTTGTGTGTCCCGTTCATCCCCCACCCCCCCACCCAAATTCTCCATCTGTCTACCTGGTTTAATGGGTTTGTTGTTATAGGTACTATGCTCAGCTAAATCTTAGTATCTTTTTTTTGTTCCCCTCCAGGCTATTTCTTCATAGACAAAAAAAAAACAAAACATCAATATTTAACTGTTTGGAAACAAAGCATCACTTAAAATCCTCTCAAACTCCTAATTCCAAAGAATTGATAACATTTTCCTGATCAAGAAAAGAAGTGACTGACTACGTGTTAAAAGTATTCTGGCGTTGATCCTGGTTTTCTCCCTCCCTAAATTTGAAGAAGCATGGAGAAATGGTACTTGATGACAGCTGTGGTCTTAATAGGACTGACAGTACGGTGGACAGTTTCCCTTAATTCTTATTCAGGTAACACATTTTCACTGGTTTTTAAAAGATAGGCAAATATTTCCTTAAATAGTTTTCTTTTTTTCTGGTAATAGTTTACAGTTTTCTGACTAGGACAGAGAAGAATTTCAGGCTTTACTGGTGTGGTCAAGAAAATACATTTAAACATCTAATTCTAATGAAAAGAACTTGTATAAGAACTAAATAGAAGCATGGGCTTTGTGATGTGTGAAAACAAAAATGTACTCCAACCCGGAAGATGACAAATTCAAGAGAGAAGTGAGCTGGTACTTCAAAGGGGACCAAATCAAAGAAGGCTTTTCTTTATTTAGGGTGGAGAAGGCATATTACTAGATTAAAAGGAAGAGACCAGTGGAGAATAAGATTGGGAAGGATGTGAGAAAAAGCGAGGGAGAATTGATGGAGTGTGGACCTGGAGGCTGGGTTTGGGATTAAATTTAACCCTGTGAGTATTTATTTACTTAGCACCTCTCATGTACGTCTTCTACAAAGTGGGAATGTTAATATATACTTTAACATGGTTGTTGTGAGGGTTAATTGAGATAACATGTATGAATTGTGTTTTCTTTTTTAATAGTGTAGGAATATAATCAGCACATTAATAGTTCATAACTATTATCTCATTTGATCCTCACATCAGATTATTTAACCCCAAAATATTTTTTGAGTGTCTGCTGTGCAGCAAAATTAGGTCTTGTGGTGATCCAGTCTTTGGGTCTGGTATTTAGGGTGACCAAGAATAATAAATGATATCCTCCTGTGATAATGTGATTTATAATAAGAGCTATAACTTTGGTCTTCATCTCTAGTTGTGGCACAAGGCTCCTAAAACCATTCGAATTCTCTAACAGAGAATGATAAAGTTATCTTTTGTTATGTTAATGAGGCAGCTTTTGGGCCCCACCTGAGGATGGGGGCTGGTTGCCAGGAGAACTAATCATGTGAATAGAGGGTTGGAACTTTCAATCCCATCCCCTGACCGCCAGGGAGGGGAGAGAGGCTGGAGGTTGAATCATTGCCAGTGGCCAGTGATGTAATCAATCATGCCTATGTAATGAATCCTCCATCGAAACCCAAATGGACAGGGTTCGTCAGAGAGCTTCTGGGTTGGTGACCTCATGGAGATGCTGGGAGAGTGGTGCACGTGGAGCGGGCATGGAAGCTCCGTGCCCTTTCCCCATACCTTGCCATATGCATCTCTTCCATCTGGCTGCTCCTGAGTTATATTCTTTTATAATAAAACGGTAATGTAGTAATTAAAATGTTTGTCTGAGTTCTGTGAGCTGCTTTAGCAAATTAATCAAACCTGAGGAGGAGGTTGTGGGAAGCTCGGATCTATAGCCTGTCAGTCAGAAGTACAGGTAACAACCCGGACTAGGGATTGGCATCCTGAGTTGGAGGGGGTCATTGGAACCTACGATCTATAGCCAGTTGGTTAGAAGCATGGGTGACAACCTGGGCATGTGACTGGCATCTGAAGGTGGGGGGCAGTCTTCTAGGACCGAAGCCATAACCTGTGGACTGTGACATCTCCAGGTAGTGTGAGAATTGAGTTGAAATGTAGGACAACGAGCTGGTGTTGGAGAATTGCTTGTTGGATATGTGGGGGAACCTCCTCCTCACACATTGTAGTTGGGTCCCAGAATCACCCTTTTACTGCCATAGAGAGGTTCACAGTCTAGGGGCTAGGGTAGATGGGTGTATATTTAATTTGAATTCCTTCATTTCTAAAAGATTGAGCATATTTTCATGTTTATTGGCCATTTGTATTGCCTTTTCTGTGATATTTGCTTATGTCATTTGTACATTTCTATTAGATTTTTTTTCTAATGTATTCCATATTTTGGGGTTTTTTTTCTATGTGTTCTATATTCTGGAAACTAACCTTTGTACAAGTTGCAAATATCTCCCATTTTATGGCTTGAAATTTCACACTTTAAGGTGTCTTTTGATGAACAGGAGTTTTTGATTTTAACATAATGAAATTTATCAATCTTTTTCCTTTATGATTTGTGCTTTTTATATCTTTAAGAAATCCTTTCCTACTCCTAGGTCACAAAGACATTTTCCTAAAATTTTCTTCTAGAAGTTTTAAGATTTGTCTTTCCTATTTAAGTCGTTAGCTCCTTAGAATTGAATTTTGTGTATAATATTTGAGATAAGAATCCATTTAGAAATTTTTTTCACATGGATAAGCAGTTGCTTCAGCTCATTTACTGAATAGTCCGTCCTTTCCCACTAATCTGCGAGACCAGCTCTGTCTGTATAGGTTTTCATATATGCACAGCTCTGTTTTCTCCATTCTGACCCATTGATTTAATACTGCCGTGTCTTGTTACATTAAGTCTTGATGTGTTGTGAGGCTAGTTCTCCCACCTGATAGTTCCGCTTCAGGAGTGTCTTGGCTATTCTGGGCTTTGCTCTCTCATATTGTAGTAGGCAGAACTTCTGGATTAGCCCCCCAAAGATGTTCTGCCCTAATCCTCAGAACCTGTGGAAACGATGAGCTCTCACTTGGGGGTGATTATGTTGTGTTCTGTGGCATGGTTGACTGGTTGACTTTAAAATAGGGAGATTGCATTGGATTACCTGGGTATGTGCGGTGTAATCACATGAACCCTTAAAAGCAGAGAACTCCCTCCAGCTGGCAGCAGAAGGGGACTCCAGAGAGATGCAAAGCCTGAGGACTCACACTGTTGCTGGACTGAGGGTGGAGGGGCCATGTGAGAAGGAATACGAATGGCCTCTCGTTGCAGAGTAGCCCCCAGCTGACAGTCAGCGAGGGAACGGGGAACCACAGAGGGGAACTCAGACTTGCAGCAGAAAGGAATCGAATCGTGCCAATCGCCTGAATGAGCTTGGAAGTGGATTCTTTCCCGGCGCCTCCAGATAAGAGTGCAGACTGGCTGACACCTCTTTTGGCCTTGTGAGACCCTGAGCAGAGAACCGAATTAAGTGCACTCAGACTTCTGACCTACAGAACTGGGGGTTATAAAAGAATACTGTTTTAAGCTGCTAAGTTTGTAATAATTGTTATGCAGCAATAGAAAGGTAATACGAACATATATGTCTTTTTCAAAAATCAGATTGTCGAAGTCCTTTGAAAAACCCTGTTGGGATTTGGATTGGAATTACATTCTACACTATTGCTTAATTTGGGGGCAATTGTCAGTCATTACCATAGCAGGGCTTCTCATTCATTAAGATGGTATGTTTCTCCATTTATTTGTCTTCTTTAATGTCTTTCAACAAAATTTTATAATTTATTACATAAAAGTCTTACACATCCTTTCTTAGATGTATCCTAGGTATCATATATATATTTTTCTCACTATTGTAGATGGTATCTTTTAAAAAATTTCTAAATACTTATTGCTGGGGTATAAAAATGTGGTTGACTATTTATATTTGGCAACCTTTCTAAACCCTTATAATTCTAATAATTTATCTGAAGGATCTTTTGGATTTTTGGTGTAAAAAAGACGATCTGTGAATAACGACAGTTTTATTTCTTCCTTTTTACTACTTACACTTTTTAGTTCTTTTTCTTGTCTTTTTCTTGCTGGGACCTTATTACAGTGTTAAATATAAGTAGTGATTCAGGCATCTTTATCTTGTTCCTAATTTTAGTGGGTGCTTTTACTTCACCATTGAGTATATTTTTGTTCTTTCTAGTATTGAACTAACCTTGCATTCCTGGAATATTCCTGAATAACCCTATTCGTTTGTGATATGTTATCTTTTTTTTTAAAGTATATTGCTAGATTTGGCTAATGTTTTATTTACAATTTTAGCATCTATGCTCACAAATGAGATTGGCTCTCAATTTTACTTTCTTAAAATGCCTTTTTCAGATTTGTTATCAAGGTTATGCTAGCTGTGTAAAATGAATTAGGGAGTATAAGCTCTTCTCCTAAAATTTGGAATAGTATGTAAGATTGGAATTGTTTGTTCTTTAAATGCTTGGTGGAACTTGCTAGTAAAACTATTTGGGCCTGGAATTTTCTTTGTGGGAAAATATTTAATTAGTGATTTAATTTCTTTAATGGTTATAGGACCATTTGGGGTTTCTATTTCTTCTTGAATTATTTTATAATTTATATTTTTCTAAGAATTTGCCCATTTCACCTGAGTTTTAAAATGTATTGGCATAAAGTTATTCATGTTTTCTTACCTTTTGTGTCTCTACTGTATTACTGGTAATGGTTCCTTTTTCATTTCTTACATAGTTTATGTTGTTCCATTTAAAAAAAATGAGTCCTATTAGAAGTTTATTAATTGTCATTATTTTCAAAGAACTAATTTGAGCTTTGCTCATCCTCTCAATAGAATGTTTGGGTTTGTTCTTTTGTTAGCTGCTCAGTTGATGGTTTAGCTCATGTATTTTCGGTTTCTCTTCTTTTCTAATACAATCATTCAAGCTGTATGTTTCCTTTCAAGTACCACCCTACAAGTAATATTTTGTACTTTCTATTGTGATTATGCTTTGACTCATGAGTTATTTGGAAGTATATTTTAAAATTTTTAAATATTTAGGCTTACATCTATTACTTATTCTAGCATTTCTTCCCTGAGGTCGTGTTTGCTCAGTTTCTTCCTCATCTGGAAGACAGGACTCCTGCTGCTTATTTTAAACCTTGCTCTAAATTGTCCCATAAGAGAGTCAACAGATAATATTACCTTTGGATTACTGTATGTATAAGAGCAGTATTGTTATTGCGCATTAGTAGAATATTTGTAGGTATCTTTTGTGGTGGTTATGTATTTTTTCAGATGAGAAAAATGAAAATGCTAAACAATAAGGAAAATGGTGATTCTGTCAGAGTTCTCAGCTCCATGATAAAGGATATAACATTTAGCTTTCACATGTGAAGAACTTCTGTATCATGGGAGGCTGGGAAAATTAATGAATAAGTATAACATCTGTGATTCCACTGAGAATTTTTCCCTCTATTAATTAAAATACTTTTTTTTTTGGTTATAATTTGTTTTTAACATGCTTATTTTAGTTTTCTTTCTTTCTTTTTTTTTTTTTGTGAGGAAGATCAGCCTTGAGCTAACATCCATGCCAGTCCTCCTCTTTTTGCTGAGGAAGACTGGCCCTGAGCTAACATCTGTGCCGATCTTCCTCCACTTTATATGGGACGCCACCACAGCATGGCCTGACAAGCGGTGCCTCGGTGCGTGCCCAGTATCCGAACCCGGGCCGCCAGCAGTGGAGCGTGTGCACTTAACCACTACGCCATGGGGCTGGCCCCTAGTTTTCTTTTTTTTCAATCTTGTTTTAAGATTGTAATTAGGAAGCACTTGCGTAAGGAGGCTTAGGTGAGCTTGCTTAGTATTAATTCACTGTTTCTTCTTTGGAAATGCATATATTGTGTAGGCAAACCACTTATGTATATTTTAATTTAAATTTTGGTAAAATGTATACCCCTTACATATTTACATATACCCCTTACATAAGTACTGCTTATATAGTTTTTACAGACCTAAAAATATTGAATAAATATGGCTTGTTGCTTTTAAACAAGCCATGGGGAGGAGACAAATTCTGATTTTAGTACTGATTGTTTGTCATAACTTGCAGAGATTCACAATTCCTCATTCCTATATTCCTCCTTGGATATACTTGATTCAAAGTGTTACCAAGGTTTTTAGAGCAAATAGCAACACTTGACCCAATTTTAATCTATTTTTTCAAAGCTGTATTGGCTGTTTAGGAGGAGAAAGTCGTAGACAATCATTTTTTGCAATGTATCAATCATTGTTAAAATATGATTGTGTTCTATTTCATTGGTTAGTGTCTCTCAGCTTACCCATTGCTATTTGTATTGTTTCTTCTTACTCACCAGGAACATATAAAAAGGGGGATTTTATTCTGGAAAATTTTAGCCAAATTCTCTTCTCTTAGAATGTTTAAAATTTGGGCCGGCCCCATGGCTTAGTGGTTAAGTGTGTGCGCTCCGCTACTGGCGGCCCGGGTTCAGATCCCGGGCATGCACTGACGCACCACTTCTCTGGCCATGCTGAGGCGGCGTCCCACATACAGCAACTAGAAGGATGTGCAGCTATGACATACAACTATCTACTGGGGCTTTGGGGGAAAAAATGAAAAAAAAAGAGGAGGATTAGCATGGATGTTAGCTCAGGGCTGATCTTCCTCACAAAAAAAAAAAAAAGTTTAAAATTTGAATGTAAAGGCAATTAGTATGTATTGTTATCAAACTACTTGTTTTTTAAGTTCTAACATAATTCTGAATAGTTCAGCAATTAATAAAATGAACTTTTAAGGGGTGCTTAAGCCCATTTTCCTGAGAATGAGACAAAATTGAAGCTTTGTAAATACACATTAGTGTGTTTTCCTTATGTAATTCTGAACCTCATGTAATTGAATTTGTGGATTAATCACAGTGGAAGGAATCCTTTTGCCTTTCCCAGGAGAAGCTCCCACAGGTGCAGTTGGGTTGTCCTTTTGGGTGGTTGTAAGGACACTTTAGCAGTTTTAAAAACTTAAGTACTAATTTCATAGCCAGTGTCAGCTGAATTTATTGAAGTAGGTCAGACTCTGGATAAAAACTTGTTTCTCAACTCTGAAGAGAGTCATTATCTATTCTTCTGTTTGTTAGAGAATGGTAATAAATTCTTCCATGTTGATCCCAAGTCTAGAGCAATTTCAGAAAATCTAGATAGTTGGATGTTTTCAGGTATAGGAAATTACTTAAGATCCTCTCTGACTTTTATTATCCCAGTGGACCAAAAACAAACAAATAAAAACAAGACAAAAATAAAAATCAACTCCTTTCCCCCTATAGACAATAGTTGTATTCCTAAAAACGGAAACACACATACACATCTATAAAATACACATGCAAAAATGCAATTAATTCATCAAGGAATTATTTTCCTTTTTTTAAATTGTAGGTTATCCTCCTCCTCCTGTTCAGTTAATTAAGCAAGTTTTTAATGAAAGTATGTACTGTATGCCTAGCAATATGCTTCCTTTGAACTCTGGAAAATCACATTCTCTGTCATAGAAACGAAAATTCTTATTTGGGTAGCAGTTAGGAAATAGTATAGTCATGTGACAAAGTATATGATATTGAAAATATAAGTATTACAAGAAGTCAATTAATGGAGTCAATTTCATGGAGAGTTTGGAATTTGAGATGATTTCTACAGGTTGGATATGAGTTGACTGAAGAGGTGTATAAATAGGGAGGAAGCAGCACGAACAGAGGCTTGGAATTTCAGAGTGTCTGACAGTAACTTAAAGATGGTTTTGGGCAAGAACCAATACATGGGCATCGTGTTAAAGTAGCCTTGGCATAATTAATTGGTCTGCCATCACAAATCGCTTAGTGTTGCACAGCCAGTAAGTGGAAAAGCAGGGAGTCAGAAATTCAAATCTTTTGAACTTAAAATCCTTGCTATATCACACTGATTACACTGAGAATCTACTAGGTGCCGTTACATCCTGAGAGTACCAAAATGAACGAGATACGGTACTTTCTGAGAGAGAGACAGAGGTGTGTGTGTGTACGTGTGTCTGTGTACTGTGGGTAATTCTTTGTGACAGTCACTCAGGGTGTATATGCTTTGGAGATGTTGATCTGCCTTTCCCATGATTATCCTGTAGTAGGAGTATCTCCTTGGGTGGAGGTGCTAGCATTTAAAGAATATTAGTATAATATAGCCATTAAATGCAAAAAAAATCTACTTAATGTAGTCTTCCAAAGCTGGAGAAAATCTGGGTTGGATTTCAGTGAGTGATAGTATGTCATTCTCCAATGTGGCCCACCTTCCCAATGGATTAATGAGTTTATCTGACTATATCTGATTTTCATTTGCTGACTAAAAAACTTGTGACTGTACTGTATCTCTGGGTCTTCTCACAATTTTGTAGTCAATTGCTAGTTAAATAGTGGGTGTTTGCTAAATGGAATTACCTTTATGCCATTTTAAATGATTTAAGGTTAATAACCTACTTAACCAAGTTGTGAGGCCATGCAGAGGAGGAGCTAAGAGCATGGATTATGGAGCCAGTCTGCCTGGGTTCACATCCAGACTCTGCTACTTATTACCTGGGTGACCGTTGCTTCCGTTTTTCCAGCTGTCAAGTGGGGGTGATAATAATACCTACTTCATTGTTGTATTTGGCACCTAGTAGGCACTATCAATTGTTAGTTATTAATGATTCTTTATCCCTTATTTGCAACTTTAAAATTAAAAAAAAGCTATAAATGGACAGTTTTTATATAACATTTGACCTCAAAGCCTGACCTAACTAATGTCTCTGTAACATATAGTCTGGTTTTGGTTCTATACTTCACCTTAAGTTATTTATATTTAGTTTGTAAAAGCCATTTGTGAAATACTGATGTTTGTTTTATTATTGTTTTATGAAACGTACTGGACAGTATAGTTGACAGTCTTTCTCATGAAGTAAAAGTAAAATTGAAAATGGATATCTTATAATTAGTATTATCAATGAATTAATAGCTAATTAACGTTAATAGCTAATTAACGTTAACGATATTTATTTAGTGTCTGCTGTGGGCCAGGCACTAGGCGGGTATTTCATATCCTTTATCTTCTTCCATTAGACCTCTAGGTGGGTGGCATCGATCCTGTTTTTAATGTGCTGTGGCTCCAGGTCCCGCACATTCAGTGCTCGAAACCTCATCTCGTGGACTTTTTGGTGACTTCTGTGTTCTTTTCCTTTACCCACACTACCTCTATAATTCAGAAAATTTTCATGAGGAAATAAGATATAATGTATAATAAAAATATGCTGAAGTCTCTTGATTGTTTTGCTCTTTTTACCTTTCATCTTAGGTGCTGGCAAACCCCCTATGTTTGGTGATTATGAAGCTCAGAGACACTGGCAAGAAATTACTTTTAATTTACCCATCAAACAATGGTATGGATAATTTTAATTTGATTTCATTGTTTATCATAGTTAATATAGATTATTTGAAGATATTTAAAAGGAAAATATGCTGTTTTCTTCATCTTCAGCATCCTCATCTTCCTGCATACTGATGTCACATACATTACCCTGCACATTGTAGGCCATTTCATCCTCCTGAAAGTTACCCACATACTCAGTTACAGCTAGAACATAGCACTGAGCTAGAACTCTGAGGACAGAACACCGTATGCCATAGAAGCTCCTCTGGACATAAACCGTGGAAGTTCATGGGCTAAAAATATTTCTTCTGGAGGTTTCGCAGAGTTTCTCTGATAGGAATGAATGAGCTGTAGAAAAGCAGTAGCCTAGTGGTGGTGAGTGGTGGGGTCAGACCGCTCGAGCACAGGTCCTGCTCTCGCTGTGTACTGGCACTGGGGCCTTTGGCACGTGGTTTAACTTTCCCTGCCATGGTTTGGTCACTTGTGAAGTGGGAGTCACAGAAGACGTCTTTCACTGGGTAGTTGTGAGGACTGAATAAAACGATGTGCATGGAGCCCTTAGACCAGGGCTTGTGGTGTCGTGAGCTCCCAGTCGTGTTGGCTGTGTCACATCTGCACAGACATTCGTGCTGTGGCATTGTTGTAAACACTCTGATAACAGTTGGTGATATCATTTATTGACTTATTGGATGCCTGGCAGATTATTTTATTAGAGACTGGCTATACAGACTGTTTACATTGTCTGTTAGTTGCGTTTATGTAACTCCTTTATGAGAGAGTTTCATGCAAGGATTTCCTATTGAACCCTCCATTAATAGGTTGGCCGTACCCTAGTCAGAGTTTGGAGTATTTAAAATAGAGGTCAGCTAAATTTTTGGCACTATTCTTTATTGTTCTATCTTGAGCATCTTTCAGATCCTCAGACATTGGTTTAACCAGCGAGTATCACTGTTCAGATTATTAGCATATTCTTCATGTTTTTCTCGTGCTTGATGGGTAGAATAAGGTCATATTTGCTGAGGCAAACCAGACCACTGCTTTGGAGCTTTGTAATTCTTTTCTATTCTTTTGTAAATATTACACGGATAAGATAATTGTATTCTTGGCTGTTCTTTGGTAAGTAGTTCTCAACAAAGATTTTAATACAAGATTAAATGTAGTATTTAGTCTTGAAAGATTAGAGAAAATTGATAACTTGGCTTAATGCTAGGAGGGGAAAGCACGGATTCCGGGAGGGGGATAGAGTCTTAATCCGGTAGGGGATGGGTCATTCCAACACTGGTCTACCTCGGCTCTCAGTTCTGGGCCAGTGGTCTCCCACTTTGGCCCAGATGATTAAGAGGTGACTGTGTATTCATTTTCAATCTTTTTTTCTTTATTAAAAACCAGAACTGTATAACTCAGAGAATAATTGTAAGATTAGGTTTTGACTACGGCCTGTGAGTCTTTAAAAATTATGAGATGCCTGAGGTAATCTTGGTGGTAAATTTCGTAGTGTTGAAATCTTTATCAAGGGTTGTGTAGCCTCAGAATCCTGAGTGGCAGGCTCAGAAACAGAGGCGTACAGCATAAAGAAATAGGATTTATCATCAGTCCATCATGCACTACTCCAGGAACTTCATAAGAAACTTAAGAAATATGATATAGTAAAGGTCAGAAAATTTCTCTTTATGAGTGGATAGATTAGAAAAACCAAAAATGTATATGTGGCGATTATAAGAGAAACCAGTCTGTTTCAGATTCATGTCTAAATTGTGTGATTTCTTTTTTTTTCCTGGTTTGAAGTTCAGTTTATTTGATTTATGATTCATAATGGCCATCATTGAAAATGGTATATCACAATGGCACAATTTATAAAATAAAATAGAAAATGTATACTTGGGACAGATTCACCATTGTCAACAGTGGATATAAATCTATATTGGAAATAACATTTCTAATATTTTGAATTTGTTTGGCTAATTTTATCAAATCTGATTAGTTCGCCATTATTGTTATCTGGTAATGTGGCTAAGGAATGATTTATTTTTTAACTTCAGTTTTCCAAGGGTAAGGTCTTTCTGTCTTCATCTAGAAAGTTAGCTATCATGTAATTAGTCAGAACTCGTTCAGGTGACATAGTTGTCTAAAATATGAAATCAGGATCAGTCAGGTTAACTTTGAAAATGTCAGTTTTATAATTCTAAATTAGAAGAAAACATTTATTCCATTTCAGTATGGATAGTTGTAAGTAATAGAGGAAAATAGAACTTTTTTCTTTAATTTTATAATGAAAATTCCTTACTTGTGAAATCAGGAGCACTTTTGGCATCAAATAATAGAAAACCTGAGTAATAGTAACTTAAGCAATAAAATAATTTAATTCTCTCCAGAAGTAGGTCTGTGCGGGCTGGTGAAGTGGCTCAGTGATAGCAGCCAAGGACCCAGGCGTTTTCCATCTTTCTTCTCTTTCCTTCTTTCTTCCCGGCATGTTGGCTTTCCACCCTGAGGCGTTTCACCCCACTGTCAGGAGATGATGGCGAGGGCTACAAGCATTGTAACTTTACACAGCCATATTCAAGGCCTTCTTTTTACCTCTCTTTTTGTCGAGGAGCAGAATCTTTCCCACCCTTAAAGCAGTCATTCGTAAAAAGAAACTCCTGGCTCTGTGCAGGCGTGGTTTCTGTCTGGGGCTGGGGAAAAGTCCACCTACCCTGAGCATGTTGCTTTCAAAACAAAATCATAGTTTTATAAGGTCAACAGGAATTGTGGGGATGGCTGTTTATAATAATGAGAAACCTGAAATACTCTAAATGTCTCTTAGTAGGTTAAGAGAATGATTAGATAAAGTATATGTCCCCTGTGCACATGTGTACGTGTTTTTCTAGGTAGATTCCTAGAAGTGGAATCTCTAAAGTAGCCAGTTTTAATGGATAACACCACCAGAATATCTCTTTCCACATACCCCTACCATCATTTAATAACACCACACTTTTAAAATTTCCATTTCCCTGAGTACTTGTAACGTTGAGCATCTTTTATAATATGTTTACTGATCATCATATTTCTTCTCAAAATTGTGTATTTGTATCTTTTCCCTATGTTTCTAATGGATTGCTGATCTTTTTTTGTAATGATTTGTATGGTTTTTAAATGAAGTTATGTTAATTTTTTATGCTGTGTAACAAATGACTACAAATGGTAATTACTTAAACACATTTTTTATTGCACAGTTTCTTTAGGTCAGAAGTCTGGGCATGGCTTAGCTTGATATTATGCTCAGGGTCTTAGAAACTGCGGTTCAGTTGTCAGCTGGGGCTGCAGTCTTATCAGATGCTTGACTGAGGAAGGATCCATTTCCATGTTCCCTCATGTTATTGGAGGAATTAATTTTCTTGCATCTGCAAGACTAAGGGCGTCAGTTTCTTGTTGGAAGCTACTCTCAGCTCCTAGCGTCCACTTGCAGTTTCTTGCCATATGTGGCTTCTCTGATATGGCCACTTACTAACACATGACAGCTTCTCTTTCAGAGTCAGTGACAGGGAGACTGTCTAGCATACTTGCTAGCAAGGTGGAATCTTACGTATACATGAAACATAAGCACCAGAGTGACATCCTGTCACCTTTGTCATGTTCTGTTGGTTACAAGCAGGTCACAGGTCTTGCCCACACTCACAGGGAGGGGACTGTACACACTCGGGCACAAACACCAGGAGATGGGTTCGTGGGGATGACCTTGAAGTCTGCTACAACCATATTCTACATTTTAATCATTTATCTTGTGTATATGTATAAAATAAATATCTTCTTCCTTTGAAGATATTTTTCCAAAGAAATATCTTGTCTTTGAATTTTTCTTATGGTGTCTTTTGTCATATAAAACTTTTACATTTTGATGTATAGAAGTTCTTTGATCTATTCTTGAAAGTTTTCTGTAAATTTGGAACTATTTCAAATTAAAAAATATATTTTTTAAAAAGCAAAAATGCCCACGACTCTAGGTTGTATGTTAAAAAAAATTACATTTTAAAGTTAATGATCACACTCTTGAATGTAATTTCATAATTTGTGTGGCAGCCAAATTTTTTTTCTGACAAAATATCTGCTGAGATTACATGGGAGTTCAGTGGGAAAATACATTTCAGTGCTATTTATACAACTTTTCAGGTAGATCTAAAATACATAAAGCAGGAGCATTAACTAGTTGCTTTGTTTCTACTGGTAGATTTTAAAGGTTTACTTGAAACACCTTTTTTTTTTTTTTTGGTGAGGAAGATTGGCCCTGAGCGAACATCTGTTGCCAATCATCCTCTTTTTTCTTGAGGAAGATTGGCCCTGAGCTAACATCTGTGCCAATCCTCCTCTATTGTACATGGGACACTGCCACAGCATGGCTTGACGAGCAGTGTATAGGTCCGCACTTGGGATCCGAACCTGTGAACCCCAGGCCGCCGAAGCGGAGCACGCGAACTTAACCACTTCACCGTGGGGCCGGCCCCCTACTTGAAACACTTTTAAACTATCTTCTTCCATGAATTTCTCTCTTCTTGTTTATGCATTTCCATAAGAATAGGGACACAGATGTTAGCCCTATCATTCTTTCTTCCCAATCTAACCAGTGACTTTACTGTTAGTATATATCTTTGCAAGCTTACAGCTTACTGTCAGCACCTCTTTTACTTATCTCCAGTGGGTCTCAAGGTTAAAGTAAATGAAAAATAGCTTTTGCCTTAGAAGAAGCTGAAAACCAAATTGTTTTGGTCAAAATGTGATTCTTGACTTATTTGATAGTTTTCCATTGCTGTATGCATCCCAATAGTTTCGTGGCTAATAACCAGTTAGAACTACTGTTGGGCACATACTTTGTGTTGGGTAGTGACTTATCAGCTTCACATGTTTCACTCAATCCTTCAACAACTCTGTGAGACAGATACAGTAAAACTCGATGCTAGTGCACTCTGTCATGACGTGAATTTGGAAATAACACAATTGGTGCCTGTCTTCAGGCAACCCTGTCTAGAGAAACAGGTCCTCTGGTCTCCACTGTTGTCCTGGTCCGTTTTCCCAGAGGCAAGCTGTCAAAAGGAGCTCCCGCTAACTTGGAGATTCTTGGATTCGCTGCTCCTTGGCTTCAAGCCCCAGCCGGATATAGGATCCTGGATGCCCACACGGATGTTGCTGTGGGAGTGGGCAGCTGCCACCAGGTGGTACCCTACTGTAGTACCCTATACCCAGATCTCTTGACTGTCCAGCCTGGCTTGGTCATCTTATTAATCCCCATACCAACCTATATGTCATGTGACTGACATTAAGTAGGCCTTCAGAAGATGAATAATAGGTTATTTAATGGGATCAGGATGAATGCTAACTTAAAAAATATTTTTTAATCCCCAAGTGAGAGATTGTGATGCTGAAAAATTGTGACCCATTCTAGACCCATTCTGAACAATGGTTATTTGTGAGTTTGGTCTCTATTATGATATAAGTTCTTCTTATGACTGAGAAAATGAGTTGGACAGAAGCTGCCTAGTTATAAAGGATATAATTAGGAAATCTGTTTATGTAACTTTAATTTTTCTTTCTTCAGTCATAATAATTATATATAGTTCTTTCCCATTCTGGCCAACTGGAGGAACCTGTTAATTTATGAACATTAGATCTAGTTTTCTTCTTTAATTCAAAGAATCTTACATATAATAGGCTCTCATATTACCTGCTGGTTCAACTGTTTTCAAACCAAGTCTTACTCAAAGTCTACCTGTTTCATGAAGTATTCTCTTTCTATAAACCAAATCTTTGTGTGTTCTTTGATACTCAGTTTTTACTTTTTTATTTTTTTATTTTTTATTTTTTTGTGAGGAAGATCAGCCCTGAGCTAACATCCATGCCAATCCTCCTTTTTTGTTGTTTTTTTTGTTTTTTGTTTTGTGGTATTTTTTTTTTGCTGAGGAAGACTGGCCCTGAGATAACATCCGTGCCCATCTTCCTCCACTTTATGTGGGATGCCGCCACAGCATGGCCTGACAAGCGGTGAGTCAGTGCATGCCTGGGATCCGAACCCGGGCCGCCAGCAGTGGAGCGTGTGAAGTTAACTGCTACGCCATGGGGCCGGCCCCAGTTTTTACTTTTTTAAATTGTGATTTCATACTGTTTCTCTAATTTGTTAGACTATCAGAAGCAAATTGTCTTCTTTGTTGCATATTTTCTTTTGTATAAGTGTTAGTCGTTGATTAAGTCCACTAATAGAGTGACGGTTAGTTCCAGTTCGCCTGGGACAGTCTTGGTTTGCATCTATTGTTATGGCTTAATTATTAACAGCTTCCTTTTTCACTCTCAAGAGTACTTGGTTTAGACAATAAATGATTTTAGTCATTCTACTCAATAACAACTTTTAATTGTGAGTTCACAAAAATTCTTAGGAGAAGGGGAAAAGACAAAAAAGTTCAGCTGAATTTTTTTTTTTTACCTTGTATAACATATTTTTTCATTTTAATTAAATTAAATAACGTGAGCTGTTAAATATAAGTCTATTTCTTGAATATTGGTTAATGGAATGGTGCTTTTTTTTTCCCTTTTTTTTCAGGTATTTTAACAGCAGTGATAACAATTTACAGTATTGGGGATTGGATTATCCACCTCTTACAGCTTATCATAGTCTTTTATGTGCATATGTGTAAGTTTTTCTCCCTTAATGTAACTCTAAATACTTATGTCCTTAGCAGATGTAGTAAGAAACAGTGTGGTCTGGCTTTGTTGAGTAGAGGAGAGAACATTTGTAGCTACTATTGTATTATGGTTTGTAAAACACTATACCTTTACAATTGGGTTGTAGGAAAGTTATCTGTCAAGAGTCTGAACATTTCCGTAATTTCTTTGGAGGACAGGCTAGAAAGAAATGCAAAAATCTAGCTTTGTTTTGAAGCAGAGCTGTTACCAACTATGCATAGACTACTGAGAAATGTATCCAGTATGGTTAGTTGTGCATAGGAAAGCTTCTTTCTGGAATGGCCCAAAGTAAATGAAAAATATAGGTCCAAGTGGTATTCTGACTAACCTGTCAAGTTAGAAACTAGAATCACTCTAGTGTTTCACTTATGATTTAAGATCAGGATTAGGATTCCTTCTCCTTTTACAGGAATGGGATGGTTTATAGAAGATTATGAGCTTCTCTTTTGTGGAGACCCAGTTCTGCTCTGTAGTGACTTGACGTGTGTCAACAGATGCTTCTTCACAGTATCTTCTGAACTCATCTCATTCGTTTTACTATTTCATATTTTGTAAAAATTAGCTTCCTGGATTAAAAATAAGTCCCTAAACTTCATGATAATCAGTTATCCTTTGCAGTGTTCAGGGTAATGTAATATGATTGAAAACTTAATTTATCTTTACCAATTATGTTTAGTTTTATGCAATGATATATGATTAATAGCTATTTATTGTAGCCAATTGTTATGATAACTGAAAAGATTATAAACTATAAAACATCATCCTCTGGTCAATGCTAGCATATTGTTCTTTACAAAGTGTGTGTTTAATAAATGAAATGTGACACATCAGATTGTTTTTACTTAGGGAAGAGTTGTGAAGGTGGGGCTTTTAGTAACACGTTCCGTGGTTTTGTTGGAAGATGAGCCAGGCAGACTGTTTTATAGCTTAAGACGGTGTCACACAATTAAATTAAAAGAGTAAGACTTAAGCCTTGACTCTCGCTTTATGAGAGCAGTGGCCACTTCTCAAAATAGCTTCATATGTCCTCAGATGTCCTGGCTGTTAAAAGGGATGAGGAATAAAGTGCATGTACATATGCTTTGGTTTGCAGGGCCCAGCTTATAAATCCAGACTGGATTGCTCTCCATACATCGCGTGGATACGAGAGTCAGGCACATAAGCTCTTCATGCGTGCCACAGGTAAAAGAGCAGTAGGTATCGGGTGTGAAATTTGGTTTTCAAGAATATTTTGGGGCCGGCCCCGTGGCTTGGCGGTTAAGTGCGCGCACTTTGCTGCTGGCGGCCCAGGTTCAGATCCCGGGCGCGCACCGACGCACCGCTTCTCTGGCCATGCTGAGGCCGGGTCCCACATACAGCAACTAGAAGGATGTGCAGCTATGACATGCAACTGTCTACTGGGGCTTTGGGGGGAAAAAATAAAATAAAATAAAATAAAATGCTATATATAAAACTACTTGAATAAACTGACTCATTTAAAACAAAAAGAATATTTTGGACATACTGATAAAAAGTTTCTATTATTGTTCTTACTGACTTTTAAAATTGTGTAACTATACATATGCATATATCTGTACAATACATGACCAAATGGATATGGAAGCTAAAAACAAGAGCAGAGAGGAATGTTCTGGGTGCTTTATGTTTATTATTATCCCACTTAATAATTTGAACAGCCAAATGAGATAAAGACTATTATTACCCTTATCTTAAGCTGAGGAAACTGAGGCGCAGTTAAGTGAGGTTAATAGCCCTCCTGAGGTCAGATAGCTATAAATTGAACTTTTAGTTGTTCAGGCTGTTGCTTTAATGTCCGAATTCCAAATCCTTTTCTTAAAGTAAACCTTACAGTTGTATCTCATACTTCGTTGCTAAATTAAATACAGTCACGCCTTGCTTAATGATGGGGACGTGTTCTGAGAAAAGTTTCTTTAGGTGATTTCATCGTCGTGTGAACATCACAGCATGAACTCACACACACCCAGACGCTACAGCTTCCTACACACCTAGGCTGTATGTACTAATCTGTGGGACCACCGTCGTCCGTGCAGTCCCTCTTTGACCAAAACGTCATTATGTGGCATATGACTAATCCGTTCAGCCAGCGTTGACTGAGCATTGATTGTGTGCTGTTCTGAGAGTTGAAAGTCATAAGCTTAGATTTCATTAAAGCTTTACATGACCTAGCCTTTAATGGTAGCCTGGACCTTTTCCTTAATCAGTCTGGATTTAGTCAGCGTGTGTTCTCTTTACTATTCATTCGGTCCTACAGTCTCAGGCCCCGGACATCATCTGTCTTCCTGTCTTTCCCTCTCCCGCTCCGCTCCCCTCTCCCCCAACACTTTCATCCTCTGAGCTGCGCACTCACCACACGGTCATCTCACTTCTGAGCCCATAGCTGTATCCGCAGGGAGCTCACAACCTTTACAGACAGTCGATTCTGTGTTCCGAGAGCCCCAGTCATTAAAAATTTCCTTCTTCTGTTGAACCTCCACTCATCATCTTAGGTCCTGTTTCCTTGGGCTACATAAAACAAGTCTGACCCTTTTATACCTAACAGCCCGCAGACATCTGAAGTCACCTCTTCTCCAGAGTAAATGTTCTTAGATGCTTTAGCTGTTCCTTAGAAGACCCGTTTGTTGAATGGGATTCTGGTTTTGAGGCCTCTGGTTATGCTTCTTTGAACATGTTCCAGGTTGTCAGTGTCATCCTAACTGTGGCATCTGGAGCTGAGAATAGGTGGCCTGCATCTCACACTGACAGTGTACTGTCACTTACCTCATTCTGGACACTGTGTTTAGTACCAGAACAACAGGCTTTTTGGATAGCTGTGTTGTACTGTTGAAGTACGTAACGTATTTGTTTTCCTTTGTTCTAAAAGGACTGAACATTCAGAATTATGAATTGCTTTTTTTTTTTTTAACTTGTTTCAGTTTCCTCCTCACCTGGGTCTCTCAAGCTCTTTCTATGCATTAATTAGCAAAATTTTATGTATTTTGTATAAATATTAACATTTTAAAAAGATTCTCCTAAGCATCACCACATTTGAGGTATTCTTCACAGCAGACAATTTGGAGATATTGAGGGGAAAAAAGTGTTGTTTTTGTTGCTTTGAGTATTCTTAATTTTCAAGTCCATGTCAGAGCAAAGAGAGAATTAATTTTGGATACAGGTAATTGATCTAATGTGTGAATTTGTTAGAGAAAATTAAAAGAGGCTCTGTAGTACCACATCAGTTCAAATTAGGCACAGGTGAAGGGAATGAGAAGGGCTTGTCCAGAGTGGGTGGGAGCCCGTGTTACTAGAATTCCCACTCAGGGTTGGAGGGAGGGAGGCAGTTAATAGGTTATTGTAGATCATGATGGACTCACGCTAAAACTCATTTGCTTGTTTTTCAGTGTTAATTGCTGATTTGCTGATTTACATACCTGCAGTGGTTTTGTACTGTTGTTGTTTAAAAGAAATCTCAACTAAGAAAAAGGTGAGTTTTAAAGCAATCTGATATTTCATCTCTGAAATGTTTTATTAGCTTAACTATTAAGTTTTAGAGCTTAAGGAAGCCGTGCTTTTGGGGACTAGATAAGAGGGAACAGTATATCTTTTGTCGATATATTTTCATTTAGAAAACATCAACTTAGAGTAATTGTTTAAATGTCCAACTATACTAATAAGATGCACTGAATTTTACAAGTTATGTGCTGCTGAATTACACAGCATGCTGAATTTATTGCTTAACTGGTAAATCTCAATTTTGAGTTGGCTTGTGAGAATGACTAAACTGAAAGGCATTTTGAAAAGTTGATATATATTCTTATGTTCACAGTTAGATATTCTTTTTGGTCATTTTATATGAGTTAATCATTAGATTAACTTCTCTGATTTGTATATCTAAAAGTATTTTCTCTGACAAATACCTTTTAGTGTTTTTTTTTTCCTTTTTACTGAAGTATCTGATGTCACGTCCATCAAAACTTTAGTGTTTAAAGAGTTGTTTTATAAAAATGGAATCTTTTGATAAACAGAAGGTAAGAGGGGAACATTTGCTACTGTGGTAAATGAAACTGCACGTTGCCTCTGTCTGATTCAAGTAACAGATTACTTTCTTATTTCACAATATTTTTCTTTACAGATTGCTAATGTGTTATGCATATTGCTGTATCCAGGCCTTATTCTTATCGACTATGGACATTTTCAGTATCCTTTACTAATTTAGAAATGAAATCAGATGTGTATTGTGAAATCGAGGCCCAGCTTGTACAATGTTATCTTCCAGTAATGTCTTTTCAACATCCTGTTTGTGAGAGGTTTTCATGTAGTTGTGTGTGGCTGTGCTCGTTCAGCTTTACCATATTCTGTGGCACGGATACACACAATTCTGTTACTGACCGGCATTTGGGTTGTTCCCAGGTTTTGGCTCTGATGAGTATGCTGCTGTGAACATTCTTGTAAATATCGCTTTGTACCCCTATAAGTGTACTTCTTATGAGTGGAATTGCTGAGTTATAGGATGTGGCCATGTTCAATTGTAGATCTCCCCAGATGGTTTTGAGCGTGGTGTACCAGTTAACACTCGCATCAGCAATGGTATAAGAGGTCTGGGTGCTCGTCTTAACCAGTTGTCAGTCATTTTCTCTGTAACCATTCTGGTCAATTTGTAGTGGTGTCTCCTCTGTGATTTGAATCAAACTCTTGAAGCTTTTGGGATTATGTCATTTTGTGGGGACACATTTTTTAACCACTATGTACTTTACTTTCCTCATTTGTAAAATGGAGATAATAGTAACCCTTACTTTGTAAGCTTTTTGAGAATTAAATGAATTAATCTTTGTAAAGCATTTAAAATAGTACCGGGAGATACTAGGCACTAAGTGTTTATTGCTGTTATTATCTGTTGTTTCTGCTGCTGCTGCTGCTGTTACTGTTTTTCACTTTCTGGGCTCTGAAAGTTTACAGTGATTTGTTGAGACGTAGGTAGGTATTTTGACAGCTGTTTTGGACACTCTATGGGTCATTCATTTTGAAAACTCAAGTTCTTCAGTTCTGTGAAATTCTCTTACATTATTTCTTTGATAGTTTTCTCACTTCATTCTGTCTTGAGCTTATTAGTCAGATGTTAGATCTTTCATCTCCGTCTTGAGCATCTCTTTGTCTTTTTGTTTTATGGTTTGGAAGATGATCTTGACTTCATCTCTAACACTTGTATTAAATTTCCTTTGTTTTGTTAAGCATATCTTAAAGTTCATTTTACTCTTTTTTTTCCCTACTGTTCCCTGAATTATTTCCATTCTTCTAGGGTTAGTTTTTTCCTCTTTTCATTTTGTTTCTTTTTCTGTCATAGGTTTTCCTTCGACGTCTGTTTGGTCTTAGTGTATCTTTCTAAGAATAAGGCAGAAGAAAAAGCTGTATGTGAGCTCTCTGTATATTTGGTCCACTGGAGGGTATGTGGGCAGGGAGCTGGCTGGTACACTTTGGGATCCTTGAATGTCAGAATGCGGAGGGCTTGGCACTGTAGCATTAACTTATATACTAGCTGCCCAATAGTTTATTCCGTTTCTTTGGAGAAATAGTCCTTTTGTTGCCTGGGGGTAAATGTTTTGGCTGCCAGATAATCTTCGCACAGGAGTGAGGTGGGATTGGATTTCTCTGTCTAGGGATTTTCAGTCAGTCTTCTTGTTTTCTTTTCACCGTATTAGTTGAGCACTCCACCCTACTTAGCGTTTCCAGGGTTTTCTAGGGGCTCACAGGGGGGTTGGCTCCTTGCTTGCCTGAGCTTCCTCTGTGCATTCTCTAAGCTGTGCTTCTTCCATCCTGTTTTATTTGTTACCACTTTTCTGTCTTCTTTCTGTCTTCTAGAAATGTGTTGAAATCTTTATCTGTTGTAGCCCATCTTCCTGTTCTCTTTATGGCTGTGAATTTATACTTTTAAAAATTCCCTATCATTCTAAGGGGTTCTTAGGAAGGACAAGGAGGTAAACAGTGCTCAGCTCACCATTTTGAACTGAAAATCTAATTGTGATGTTGTTTTTTAATTTTATTTATTTATTTTTCCCCCCAAAGCCCCAGTAGATAGTTGTGTGTCATAGCTGCACATCCTTCTAGTTGCTGTATGTGGGACGCGGCCTCAGCATGGCCGAAGAAGCGGTGCGTCGGTGCGCGCCCAGGATCCGAACCCGGGCCGCCAGCAGCGGAGCGCGCGCACTTAACCGCTAAGCCACGTGGCCAGCCCTGTGATGTTGTTTTAATATAACAATTTTATTAGTTTCTAATCAAGCACCTATATTAATTTATATTATTGATGCATATTATAGAGGAAGTATAGTGATATCAGTAAGTTTCGTGGGTTTTTTGTGTTTTTGTTTTTTTTTTTTTTACTTTTGGAGCATTGTTTAATTCTCTAGATTTTGGTATGTTGTTTTAGCAATATTGTAAAATAGTCTAGCAGAAACAAAGCTACGTGTTAACTATTTAGAGTTCTTTCAAACCTAAACAAATCAGTTTCTCTGTTAGGAGATTTAATATTTTTGAGGCCATTATTTATAATTTCAAATCTGTTAATCACTTCAGTACTTTCAATTTCTGTGTAGAAACAGCTCTCATTACATATATTATTTTAAAACCACATAAGAAGTGCACTCTGTAAAATGAAGATCCATCTCCTTTGATGACTGAGAACTTCCTTGACGCAGGAACAGGTATAACTCCGTGAGCCTCGGCTTTGCCCTGTGGGGTGTCCTCGGCGTGTCCTGCAACTGGGACCTGCTGGGCTCACTGGCCTTTTGTCTGGCTGTAAATTATAAACAGATGGAACTGTACCACTCCTTGCCATTTTTTTGCTTTTTACTTGGCAAGTGTTTTAAAAAGGGCCTCAAAGGAAAGGGGTGAGTGGCTTTTAAACACCAGAATTCGAAACATTGCTTGAGAGAATTTATTGGGCAGACTGACCTGGAGGATGCGGGCCGTCCACTTTGCCTTTTGGTGATTTCTTATTAAGGCGTCAGCTGCGGGGTGAGTGCGAAGAGAGACTGTTCTGTTCTCTATCATTTATTTTAAATCCTTCTGCCTAGAGAAGTGATTCGATCCATGTCCCTTTACTGGACGTAATGTGGATTGGCATGTTAGAGCGTTGCTGTAGGATTTCATCTCTTTAGAGCTTCCTACATTATATCCTTATTAGAAATACATCCCAATTTGACGTTTTTCTCCATGGCTGCCGAGGACTGGCATCTAAGGTACATGTTGACGAGAGTGGGGTTGTCTTTTTGTTGGAGCAGCGCACACCTGAACAGGTGTGCATGTCCTTCTCTGACTTGAGCGGACTCCCATCTTAGACCTGTGCTGGTGGCACGGGTGGATCATCAGCCCGCATTGGCGTTCCTTACGCTGAGCGAGACCCTCCCAGTCTCACTGGCCGCCTCTGTTCCTCTTCCAGGTTTGTACTGTTCATTAAGCTGGCTTGCACTGTGCTGGCGTCCTTCGTCCTCTGCTGGCTGCCGTTCTTCACAGAAAGGGAACAGACCCTGCAGGTCCTAAGAAGACTCTTTCCCGTTGATCGTGGATTGTTTGAGGCATGTTGAGAAACTTCCCTCTCACTCCTTTCTGTGACAGCACCTTCCCGTGACCTTCGGGGTTTCACGCAGAAGACACACAGGAATAGTAACTTGAGCGCTCTCCTCTTCCAGTCACTCGTGCCGGTTATTTCATGCAGTGCGTAAGCTCTGGCTCAGCTGGCGTTTTCTAGTCACTGCATGAGTAGGTAGTATTTATGCCATCATGAGATCTGTAATTCACTTCTACATGTTTCTAATGAAATAGGGTCCATAATGAAAGACAGCATGAGAAGTTGCAGCTACAAAGTTAACAACTCTGTAATTTTTTGATTTATAGTCTCTTTTTAGTCTTAGGAAATTATTTATTAAACTAATAATCATGTTTTCTTCAGAAAGATCTCATAATTCCTTATGAGATATATAACCTTTATCCATAGTAATTTTTAATGAGGATCATTCATTTCATTTCATTTAATGCTAGGTTAATCACTCTTGTTAAACTTTTATTACATGGATAATTTGATTTAGATTTAGTAATTAAATTAAACAAACCATTTTCCTGAAACAAAAAAGGCCTTTTAATAAAGTTAGAGACAACATATTTATAGATAATTTGCTTTTGAATAAACATTTCTTTTAAAAAGAATTAGAAAATCATATATATCTTTCTAATTTTTCAACATATAAATTGCTATGGAATATCTCTCAGGGGATCAGTAGGAAGATGGAACCAGCATTTTGAAAGAGACTAAAAGAGTTTGGTGTTGTGAAGGAACAGAAATGTGTGACTTGTGTGTTGATGGGGATGATGATGGTGATGATACTGATAATCATAAATAATCACTATATTATCACGGCCACTTGCTTACCAGGTGCCACACTCTTCACGTGTTATCTTATTTGATCCTTTTAGTGCTCAGGCAGCTGTTACACCCACTTCACAGACCAGAAAACTGAGGTCAGAGATTCATACAGCTGGGGTGTGGCAGAACTGTGATTTGAACTCTGAAAATTGTGCTCCTCACCTTATATGGTCTCTAACCTTGACACCTGTATAAAGAACAGGTTAAGTTCTCCGTGCAAGCTGCCTGATTCTTTGCCTTGCCTTCCATTTCAGAAGTGGTACTTACCGGGATAATTACAAAGATGAGTATCACGCACGTTTGATCGTGCTGCTGGTCACCTCCCTTGGCTTGTTGTCCTCAGGACCTGAAGAGCATGTTCACTGGTCCCACAGAGGGCAGTCGGATGGTGCAGTCATCAGCCATACCGCTTCTTGATGTTGTGCCTGCACGGCTGTGCGTGGAGCAGCTGTGTAGACGGGGGTTCACGGCAGAGAGCTGTGGTTACAAATTGAATTTTGAAAGCAATCCCAGCACAACTGCTGGTGTCTTTAAACTTCTTGATTTATTGGCAATTAACTCCTGTCATTGCTAGTAGCTAGTAGATTACTCTAAATAATTTTAAGTGTGTGATAAAATGGGTCAAATTACAAAGATTTCTTAGAAGAATTTCCGAAGATGAGTAACTTCTGTACTTAGGGATCATGTGCTGCTCTTTGAAAAAATATTAAGTATTTCTTGGGAATTCTTGGGAATGTCTAGATTATGATTGACTAGTGATTTAACTCAACTCCCATTGCTAAAAATGAAAAATGCTTGAGCTTGTGAGTGAGTGTGAGTGTGTGTGTGTGTGAGTGTTCATTCCTTGGAGAGTTTAATCAACTTAGTTATAAAATTGTGAACAAAAGCTTCACATGTCTCAGAAGTTTATTTATTTAGAGATTATGGACTGTACTTCATGGAGTTTAATTTTTCTTTCAATTATACCAGAATGTAAAACTAACAAATCTCTTTTCAGGATAAAGTCGCCAATATTTGGTGCAGCTTCAGTGTCTTTCTGAAGATCAAGGATATTTTGCCACATCACATCCAGATACTAATCAGGTAAGAGACACAGAGTTGGTATGTAGTGTTTATAAGCTGCTCTGTAAGTATTGTGGTAATGTCTCATGTATCTGGCATTGTTAGGGAATGAGGTCTTCTACGTTAGTGAATTTTCCACATTACATAAACCTCTCTATACAACGAGACTCTCTTACGTGAACGTTATTGCTGCCTACTCCCTCCTCCTTCAACAGCGGGTACACTAGAATGACTTCATGTTACCTGGAATAGTCATGATTCTCGGGGGTGTCTGTCGGGGTTCAACCAGAGGAGTGGAATGAGGAGGTGAGCGTGTGTGAATTTATTACAAGGAGTTGGTTTATACAGTGGGGCTGGCTAAGCAGACTGGACACCCACAAGGCAGGCGTTCAGAAGGAAGATCACAGGGAGGGGAGAGCGATTCAGACCCAGCTGTGGTTTGGAGTCTCTGAGCTCAGGGAAGGCCTAGGCCCTCTTTATTTATTTATTTATTTGTGTGTGTGTGAGGAAGATCGGCCCTGAGCTAACATCTGCCACTCCTCCTCTTTCTTCTGAGGAAGACTGGCCCTGGGCTAACATCCATGCCCATCTTCCTCCACTTTATATGGGACGCCGCCATAGCATGGCTTGCCACGCAGTGCGTCAGTGCGCGCTCAGGATCCGAACCAGCCAACCCCAGGCCACTGCAGCGGAGCGCTTACACTTAACCGCTTGCGCCACCAGGCTGCCCCCCCCCTTTTTTTTTTGTGAGGAAGATCAGCCCTCAGCTAACATCCATGCTGATCCTCCTCTTTTTGCTGAGGAAGACTGGCCCTGAGCTAACATCCGTGCCAATCTTCCTCCACTTTATATGGGACGCCACCACAGCATGGCCTGACAAGTGGTGCTTCGGTGCGCGCCGGGGATCCGAACCCAGGCCGCCAGCAGAGGAGTGCACGCACTTAACCACTATGCCATGGGGCCAGCCCCCTAGGCCTTCTTTTTTTCTTTTTTTTTAAAGATTTTATTTATTTGTTCCCCCCCCCCCAAAGCCCCAGCAGATAGCTGCATGTCACAGCTGCACATCCCCCCAGCCACTGCATGTGGGACGCGGCCCCAGCATGGCCGGAGAAGTGGTGCACCGGCGTGCCTGGGATCTGAACCCGGGCCGCCAGCAGCGGAGCACGCGCACCCAACCGCTAAGCCACAGGGCCAGCCTCCACCCAAGCCCTCTTTAAAGGGCTTCCAGCTGATTGGGTCAGGCCTGCCCAAGACAGTCTCCCTTTTGATTAACTTAAAATCAACTGATGAGGGACTTTTATTACATCTGCAACATCTTTTCACAGCAGCAACAAGATGAGTGTAGAGTAACTGGGAGAAGTGTGTGTGTGTGTGCGCGCGCACCACAAAATGGGTGCTGCCCCCTCTGTCCTCCAGTTCTTCCGAGAACACCCCTTGCAGCCCACGGTAACGGGAGGCACAGTACAGGGAGTTCAGGCAGCTGGAGTTCAGCCTAGCCAAGCTGACACCACAGCCACCACAAGTGGGAGGACCAGCTATCCTATCGCCACAGCACTGTACTCGGGGCTTTCAAAGGCTGTTTGCCCTGGTGCCACACGGCTTCCGACTGCTCTCCGTGCTGCATTCTCCCTCCTCCTTGCCCATCAGCCATCTCCAGGAGAAGCCCTAGCAGCTTCCTGCTCCCTTTCTGCTTGCTCGTTCTGATTTACCATGGGCTTGAAAATCAGATAATCAGCTTTTATGAAATGAGGGCCAGAGAGATTCTCTCGTGAGTAAATTTCATGAATGTTAGTGTTACAAATACAGCATTCTCTCTTTATACCTGGTTATGTTTTCTTATTTTGAGTGTTTGATAATTGACTTTTAGCTATCTTTGTATCTTTTCTATAAATGATGCTAAATACTAAAATAACATAAGCCACATTTAGTACTATGTTTTGCTCTGTATTATGTAATCATATATATTAAAATGTGTACATATTTCAACATATGGATTTTATTTAAATGTTATTTGCTCTTTAAAAAATAAAAATAAACTTTAATTTGAAATCTACTTAAGTTGATAAGTAATGTGATCCTTATATTAAAAAGATATTTTTTGTTTTTAGCTATATACCTCTACAAAGAAACCAAATGTTTTATTTTTATTCATTTTTTAGCTGCTGTTTTACGTTTTTGAGCCTGCTTTCTGCATGTATAAAATTGACACTTCAGCCCTCTCCCAGAGTATTCAGATTTACTCTGGTAAGTTTCTCATAACTTTAGATACTTAATTCTTGGTGAAACTGATCTTTTCAAAATACAGATAATTATTCTCTTGCTCTGAACAGGATTTACTGTATTGGGAAATAGAACATTCATTTATTTGGTGAACATTTATTGAGTGTTTGACATACTTAAGTGCTGTGTTGGGCACTAGCCTGAGCAATCAGGGTCTTTCAGTTTAATTCAACAACTATTTAATTTCTTCTGTGTGTTAGTCAATGAGGGAATACAAAGAAGAAAACAGTGGTGATAGACATATGCTTACATAATTATGCTGTAAAGCAGACGGTATTAAGTTCTCTCAGTATAGTTAAGTGCTATGATCATGTGGGAAAAGGAGATATTACTTTGGGGGCAGGTTTTAGATTCTTAGACAGTTGGGATTAAAGGCAGATTTTGAAAGCTGGGCAAGATTTGGAATAGGAGGTTATATCACAGAGAGAATTCAAAACAGGAGGAGGAGCCTGAAGGTACAGAGGAAGGAGAGGACAGGGAACACTCTGGGAACAGCTGCTAAACAATGCAATTTTTGTGACGTGTGTGTGTGTGTGTTGAGGTTAGGAGAGGATTTAGTGAGAGATAAGTCAAAAAGGATCAGATTGTATAAGAAGACTTTTGAGTGTTGGGTTGAAAAAGTTGGAGGTTGATTTGTGTGCAAGAGGACCCAAAAAAGACTTTTGAGAAGGGGCGGGGACCAATCTCTGTTATAGGAAGATGACTTGGTCAGTTTGAACATGGATTGAGTACATTTCCCACAGTTTAGGGTTTCTCTGAGTGGGTTTACAAATTCCTCCTGGTGTATTTCTGTGGTATTTAACATTTTGTTCCTGTGTACCTTGGTCTATAAAATGACGTTTTAAAAATATCTTTTTAAAATATCAAGAAAATTTAGTTAATGAAAATAGTAAGTCTCAGTGGACTTATAAGGTGACAGCATTTCAGAAATCAGCGTTTCAATTCTGGGGCTGCCACTTATTTACATTGCGTTCTGAAAACAAGCCAGAACACGGTGTCAAGGTGAAATATTTCAAAAGCACGTATCAGTACCACATGCAAAAAGGATAGTTTCATGGTCCTCTTTTCTTTTTTATTACCTTTTTATTGACGATTTCTGTTGTTTCATTCTGTGAATGAACTCGGAGCATATTAAGTCATCTGCAGTTAATATTCTATAGGATGGTTAGAACAGACGGGATGTGGTTAGTAATACTCTGATGTCTTTAATAGGCCTAACTTGAAATATTTGCAAGCTTATGTAAGATTATATTATTTTTCTAGGAAATAGCATGCTAAAGAAAGGTATATTTCAAAGATAATGGAACGGAATTTCAGAGTTTGAGTAACTGCAGCAGTGTTAGAGAGGATTACTTTTAGGATTATAAGCTAGAAAAAACATTTTCTTTCTCTTAATTTCATAATTTTATTCTATTTTCTATGTTTTAATATAAGCCACTGTGTTTAAAAAATAAAAACGACTTCTAGTAATGACTTTTATTGTTTTATTTTTGTTGGTAATATTTTGAATTCTTACTAAATACTTCTGAGAGCTTTAAAAAGAGTTCCCATTGTAATTATTTTAGTGTTTTCCTTTCGATCAAGATTGAATTATTTCTCAATATAAGTTTATAATTGAGGTAATTCATAGTATGAATACTAATACATCTATAGCAGCAAGATGATTTGCATTTAATTTATTCAAGTAGTATTTATTAAGTGGTCTCCGGTATGCTAGGGCCTTTTCTAGGATCTGGCATGTAAGTGAATGACAGCTAACATCTCTGCCCTCTTAATTGGGGCCTTTCATGCTAGTGGCAGGAGAAGGACCATAAACAAGATAAATCAGTTACCAAGAAAAGACCTGGGAGTAATGAGGGCCATGAAGGAAATAGTGTATGTGAAAAGAGTGCTGGGGGGGGCAGTTGGTTACTACTTTAGGTTGAGTAAGGGAAGGCCATACTGGGGCATTTGAGCCTAGAATTGAATGACTGACCAGAATGGGCAAGTTTTTCCTTAAGGCAGAGACACGTTTGACGGTTTGAGGCATAAAAGGACAAGTATGAAGTGGCTGGTGTGCAGTGAGGGAGGGAGACAGTAAGAAACAGCCTGGAAGAGGAAGGCAGGACCCAGATCATGTAGGAGTTTGGATTTTATTCCAAGTGTAGCGGGAAGCTATTGGAGGGAAATTTACGAGATCTGGCATGGTTGCTGAGGGGAGAGTGGACTGTAGGGAGGCAAGAGTGTTACCAATCAGGAGGTTACTGCAGCAGTCCAGGAGAAGGATGGCGCAGCCTAGAGCACTCCTCTGCCACCATCGGCAGAGGGGAATGGAGAGAAGTGGGTGGATGCTGTATTTAGGAGGTGGTGTAGATCGGATTTGCTGATGGATTGGATGTGTAGATGTACAAGGTAGTGATCTAGGTGTTTTGCTTGAGCAGCTGGACTGGATGTATATAGATACATGTCCAATATGCAGAATATAAACTTCTGAAAATAGATCTAAGTAATTTTATTTAAAACCCCAGATAGCAAATGATTACTTTGTAACACATTTAATATATTTTATTGAAGTGCACATTTTAAAAACACTAAAATAGATTTGTTTTGCCAGTTTTAGATTTTGACCTTGTCCTTCATGCTTTTTAGTTTAAATTGTCAGAGATTCCGAGGGAGGCTGAAGGCACGCTTGTTGTGTCTGAAGTACTTAGTAGTTTTGTTTGTCAATAACTGAGTCTCACTGAACTTGTTGTAGATGGTTAAGTATAGCTTTATAATCATTGTTTTTTCAAAAAATATTTTGCTTATTAAATTTGAATAAAATATTGTGCATATTAGTGTTGTGTATATACTTTCCTTATAGATAGAGCTACATTAAGCTTTAAAATTTTACTTGAAATGATTTTTATTTAGATTCGTAATTAAATTGTATTATATTTTACAAGTTGTAATATTTCATTTTCTCCCCTTTTTCCTTGAAGGTTAGCTGTGCACTGTCATTCTTTTTATTTTCTTTCCAAGTACATGAAAAGTCCATTCTCTTGGTATCATTGTGAGTAAAAATGTTTCAAGTATATGTTTTATTTATTTATGTTTTATAATATATAAATTTATTACATATAATCACATAAGTGCAAAACAAAACTATACAAATATTATACAGTTGCATAAAATTACTTCATAAAATCATATTTTTTCTAGAATGATCTCTTGCAGTTTTACTTCTTTATAAAGTATAGTGTTTTAAACTGAAAAAATTTCATAGAATTATTACTGATATACTTCTCATTTCTTGCTGTTTCTTCATGTAATTTTCCATATGCTAATAAAAAATATGTCTTCCGAAGAGGCCCTCCTCAGACTGGGGCCTGTCTGTCCTCTCTGCCTTTCATCATTTGCCCCGTCCGCTCAGCAGCCTTGCTCTCTCCAGTCTCCTCTGCAGGGCTTTCATGTGTTTGTCCTTACCGTATCTTTAGTCAGAACCTTTGTGTAGACGCTGTTGCAATCCCTAACCAGACTACTCTGTTTGAGGATCATTAAAATTTTTTCCTGGTCTTTGTAGAAATTGGGTCATAGTTAGGGGTACATTATCCCAGTGTTAAAACAGTATTTGCCCAGAACCCATTGGAACACTTGAATCCTGCCCTCGGTTAGTCCCAGCCCGCGACTACTGCACCCTCACCCTGTGTTAGTCAGGCTCCTGTGGGGAGACGTGCAGAATGACCAGTGACAGATGGAAGGAGTATCGCTTTGTATTAGGTGGAGCTTTGGACTGGAACCTCGGCGCAGAGCCGTATAGTAAGCTGCATTGGCCTGTGTGGAAGGCTTCTTTGCTCGGAACAGAATACCACTGCAGACTTGGACGACAGCTACACTCATCCCCCGAAGTCTAGACCTGAGTTAGGTCTGACCACAATTATGTGAGGTGAGGCTGACCCTACACAAGTTCCTAGTGCCAGGGGATGGAACCATGGAGACGTGTTGCTTTCAAATGTGTATCTTCCCCAGAACTTCTGCCCCATAGAAAGGCAGCTCCTTCAGTGACCTGTAATCTGAACATTCAGATGCACTCTCAGGCCCTGAATTTCTAGGGGTTCATACTCAACAACTGTACCTAGATTATTTATAACACTGCATGGCTTTAATATAATTTTGATCAAATATTTTAGAGTTAGCATTAAAAGTTCTCCTTCAGGGCCGGCTCCGTGGCTTAGCGGTTAAGTGCACGCGCTCTGATGCTGGCGGCCCGGGTTCGGATCCCGGGCACGCCCCAAGGCACCACTTCTCCGTCCAACGCGAGGCCGAGTCCCACGTACAGCAACTAGAAGGATGTGAACCTATGACATACAACTGTCTACTGGGGCTTTGGGGGGAAAAAGTTCTCCTTCACCTAGTCCCAGCGAGCCTGTCATTAAACAGATATTTCATTCAATAAACACTTATTTCATTCAATAAACACAGAACAGCCAGGCACTGTTCTGTGTACGTGAGATATATCCGTGAACAAAACAGACAAAAATCCCTACTTTCTTAGCTTTCATTCTCAAGGACAGGTACTAATAATTAAACAAAAATAGGAAATTAAATAGTGAGTTAGAAGGTCATAAAGGCCACAGGGAGAACTAAAACAGGGTTAGGAAGTTGGGAGTACTAGAGGTGGGGGCACAAGAGCAAGTGCAGGCTGCAATTTCAGAGACAGCTGTCAAGGCAGGCCTCTGCGGAGAGACTCGAGTGGCAGGAGGAGGGAGGAAGTTGGCTGTGTGGGCATCTGGGAGAGTAACATTCTAGACAGACGCAACAGCCAGTGCCAGGGCCCTAAGATGGGAGTTGCCTAGTACGTTTGGGGAACAACAGAATGGCCCTGTGGCCAGAGTAGGGAGAGAGGTAACGAGCGCAAATTATAGAGGACCTTATAGGCCATCTTAGGAACTTAGGCCTTTATTCTGAAGGAAATGGGGAGCCATGGTAGGGTTTTGAGGAAGAAGCATGATCTGACTTGATGTTTTAAAAGGATCACTCTGCTTATCAAATTATACACATTAAATACATGCAGTTCTTTGTATATCACTTATACTTCAATAACGCTGTTAAAAAATAAAAGGATCGTTCTGGCTGCAGGTTGAGAAGAGCCTACACAGAGCAAGTGTAGAAGACATGGAGACCATTTAGAAAGCTGTTGCCAAAATCTAGGTGAGAGAGGGTGGTGACTGGGAACAAGAGAGTCACAGTGGAAGAGGTGAGAGAGGTCAGTATGGGTATGTATGTGGAACCAGAAGGTTTCCTGATGACTTGGATGTAGCATGTGAGAGAAAGAGAAAAGTCTAAGGTGTGTCCATGGTTTTTGGCCTGGAACTGGAAGGATGGAATAGCCATTGACTGAAAAGGGGAAATTGCAAGTGGAGCAGGATTAGGCTCGATGTGGACAGGGTGGGAGGTTCCCAAGCTCAGCGCTGGACTTGGGACATCCAAGCGGAGATGCTGAGTCAGCATTTAGATAGAGTCTGGGTTGGATGTATGCGTGGAGTTCCAGAGAGAGGCTGAGCTGGAGATATAAATTGAGCAGTTTGTCAGTAGAGACGACGTTTAAAGTCATGAGACTGGATCAGATCACTAAGGAAGTGAGTATAGACAGAAGAGTCCTGGGGACTGAGTCCTGGGCCACACAATGTTAAGAGGTCTGGGAGAAGAGGCAAGTAGGAATGATCACAAGGTAGGATGCAAACCCCATGAGTTGGTCCTGGAAGCTGAGTGAAGAAGGTATTTTAAGGACATGAAGTCCTGTATCTTACACCACTCACAGAAATTAACTTGAAATGGATTAAAGACTTAAATGTAAGACCTGAAACCATAAGACTCCTATAAGAAAACATAGGGAAAAAGCTCCTTGACATTGGTCTTCGCGATGATTTTTTTGGATATGACACCAAAAGCACAAGGAACAAAAGCAAAAAAAACGAGTGGGATTCCATCAAATTAAAAAGCTTCTGCACACGGCAGAGGAAATGATTACCAAAAGGAAATGGCAACCTAAGGAATGGAAGACAATATTTGCACACGATACAGTATCTGATAAGGCATTAATATCCCAAATATTTAAGGAACTCATGCAACTTAATAGTAAAAAAACAATCTGATTAAAAATGGGCAAAGGGCCTGAATAGATATTTTTCAAAAGAAGACATACAACAGGTATGTGAAAAGATGCTCAACATCACTAATCATCAGGGAACTGCAAATCAAAACCACAACGAGCTATCACCTCTTAGAATGGCTCTTATCAAAAAGACAAGAGATAATGAGTTGGTGAGGATGTGGAGAATAGGGAACCCTTGCACACTGTTGGTAGGAATGTAAATTGGTGCAGCCACTATGGAAAACAGCATGGAGGTTCCTCAAAAATTAAAAATAGAACTACCATATGATCCAGCAATCTCACTTCTGGGTATATATCTGAAGTATATATCTGGGTATATATCTGGGTATATATCACTGAAGATAGTGATTTAATGAAATCACTATCTTGAAGAGGTATTGCACCCCCATGGTCATTGCAGTATTATTCACAACAGCCAAGACATGGAAACAGCCTAAGTGTCTATCAACAGATGAATGAATAAAGAAAGTGTGTGTGTATATATATATACATATACATATATATACACCTACATATATACAATATATATATACATATATATATACACACACATACAATGGAATTATATTCAGCCATAAAAAAGAAGGAAATCCTGCCATTTGCAACAACATGGATGAACCTTGAGGGCATTATGCTAGGTGAAATAAGTGAGACAGAAGGACAAATACTGTATGATCTCACTTCTTTGTGGAATCTAAGACATAGAAACTGACTCATATATACAGAGAACAGATTGGTGGTTGCCAGGGGTGGGGGGGCGGGGAAGTGAGTGAAGGTGGTCAAGGGATACAAACTTCCAGTTATAAGATGAGTAAGTTCTGAGATCTAATGTACAGCCTGGTGGCTATAGTTACCATATTTAACAGGTATTGTATAGTTGAAAGTTGTAAGAAGAGTAGATCTTAAAAGTTTTCACCGCACACACACACACGCACAGGTAACTGAGTTGACAGCTGTGTTAACTAACCTTACTGTGGTAATCATTTTGCAGTATATACCTATATCAAATCCTCACATTGTACACCTTAAACTTACACAGTGTTATATGGCAGTTATATCTCAGTAGAGGACATGAGCTGACCAGTTGTATCAGATGCTGCTAATAGGTCAGATAAGCTGCAGGCTGAGAATAGACTGTTTGCAAGATGGAAGTCACTGGTGACTTTGACAAGGCTAGTGTTAGTGGAGTGATGCAGGGAAAAGCCTGATTAGGGTGGGCTTAAGAAATAATGAAAGGAGAAGAAATAAAGAGAAGTATAGATAATTCTTTTTTAAAAAAGAAATTATATATATATATTTTTAGTTGTAGTAGAATACACCATTAGTACATTCACAATGTTGTGCAACCATCACCACTATCTACTTCCAGAACATTTTCATCACCCCAAAAGGAAACCCCATACCCATTAAGCAGTCACTCCCCATTCTCCCCTCCCTCTAATCCTTATAACCACTAATCTACTTTCTGTCTCTGTGGATTTGCCTATTTGGGTATTTCATATGAATGGTATCATGCACTATGTGGCCTTTTGTGTCTGACCACTTTCGCTTAGCATAATATTTTCAAAGTTCATCTATGTTGTAGCATGTATCAGTACTTCATTTTTATGCCTGAGTAATACTGCATTGTATGGATATACTACTTTTGTTTATCCAGGCATCAACTGATGGACATTTGGGTTGTTTCCACCTTTTGGCTATTGTGAATAGTGCTACTATGAACATTTGTGTGTAAATTTTTGTTTGAACACTTGTTTTCAGTTCTCTTGGATCTATACCCAGGAGTGGAATTTCTGGATCATATATTAATTCTATATTTAACTTACTGAGGAACTGTTTTCCACGGCGGCTATACCATTACACTCCCACCAGTAATGTATGAAGATTCCAGTTTCTCCGTATCCTTGCCAGCACTTGTTATTTTCTGTTTTTTTGCCATCCTAGTGGGTATGAAGTGGTATCTCATTGTGGTTCTGATTTGCATTTCCCTCATGACTAATGATGTTGAGCATCTTTTTATGTCCTTGTTGGCAGTATGTATATCTTCTTTGGAAAAATGTCTATTTAAGTCCTTTGCCCAATTTTTAAGTGGTTGTCTTTTTGTTGTTGAGTTTTAGGAGTTCTTTATATTCTGGATATTAAACCTTTGTCAGATACATGATTTGCAAATATTTTCTCTTATTCTTCGGATTTTAACCTTCTTGATGGTGTTCTTTGATGCACAAAAGTTCTTAATTTTGATGAAGTCCAATTTATCTATTCTTTCTTTTGTCACTTGTGCTTTTGGTGTCATATCTAACAAACCATTGCCAAATCCAGAGTAATAAAGATTTACCCTCATGTTTCTTCTAAGAATTTTATGGATTTAGCTCTTCCTTCTTATGGATTTAGGTCTTTGATCTATTTTGAGTTAAGTTTTGTATGTGATATGAGATAGATAGACAGTTCTTTAGATGAGTTTACTGAAAAGGAGAGCAGAGAAATAGAGCAATAACTGGTAGAGAAAGTGGGTCAAGAGAGATGTGTTGGTTGTTTGAAGATAGGAGAAATTACAGCATTGGGAATGGTCCGTAGAGGGAGGGAAGATTGATGGCATGGGAGAGAGGTGAGAGTTGCTGGCGCAGTGTCCTTCAGAAAGGGAGGGGCCAGGATCTGGAGCACAAATGGAAGAACTGGCTTTGAGCAGATGCCTGAACAGTTCATCTTAATGAAAAGGGGGAGCAGGCGATATTGGTACAGATGCTGGAAGAGAGTAGATGTGATGGTGGCATCTGTGAACGTTCTTTTAATTGCTTCAGTTTTCTTACTGAAGTGGAAGCAAGGTTATTAGGCAAGAGTGGGTTGGAGCTGTTGGGAGTATGAGGAGAGAGAAAATGTGAATCATTTTTCTAAGGAGACACAGAGTGTGAACAGACTAGGGAAATTTATGGTAATTGCTGGCACTTGAATATCACGATCATGGATTTAAAGTGGGAACAGTTAGTGGGTAAATGTTTTCCTTCAGAGCAGTTGCTCAGTACGGTTGGAGTAAGTGCAGGTGGAGAGCTGGGTGTTTCCACGTTTACGGTTTTGCCTGTGAGGATAAATCACTTGCTCAGGGCTTGGGAGTGAGTATAAAATGACTGACCTTAGAATTTATGCTCGTTAAGAAGAGAAGAGGACATTGGCGGAGAGAGCAAAGTGCAGAGGTGGGAGGAACGATGGATTGAAGGTCTTGGTGGGGTCAGAAGATTGCTGGAGCTGGAGTACTGAAAAGGTCGAGGAGAGGTGAGAATGCAGGTGACGAGCTGTGATTATGGGGGGCTGCAGTCTGGAGTGTGACCCCCAGGTATGGGACTGAAGACGAGATCACTGGAAGAGAGGAGTCCCAGCAAACAAGAAGTCAGTGTGTTGGAAGATCATGTGTATGTTATATGCTAAAATATGTTATATTTGAAATGTATATGTTAAAATTGCCAAGAATTAAGATGAGTAGGGTTGAGAGAGTGACAGTGAGTAAGGAGCTGAACTCACTGAGTAAAGAGGGAAGTGAGCCTTGTGGCTGGTGGTTGATAACAAAGATGAGGAACAACGGGATAGAGCCTGAGGACATGAGATTCAAAGCTGGACATTGTTGGGCAGAGAGAGGGAGAACTGGTGTGGGAGAGGTGAGAAAGGGCAGGAGTCCGCTCCCTCCTCTGGGCCAGGTATTTGAAGTCCTAGGGGGTGCGGTGCGGCTGGAGCCAGGGATTGTTGTGAACCAGGTGATGAGGGAAAAGGGTGAGGAGAGGTCCAGGATGTGGGAGGTTGCTGCTTGATTATAAATACTAAGTACCTTGAGGTTAAGGGCTGAGTTATAGTCATCTGTGTCTTCCTTTCAGAGCCATGCTTATACATAATATGTTTTCCACAAATGCTTGTGTTCAGTAAATGAATAAATGGGAAAGAATTAAGACCCAGAAAGAGAAAAGAATGTCCACTGGGCACCTGCTGTGTGCTTGTCATCAACACAAATACATCCTGATATAAAAAGCATCAAGCCATGAAATGGAAAGTCCTCGTTGCTCTTTTCATGTAGCCTCTTCCTGCTCATCCCCTGCTCTGTCATCATCATCATCCACCTGTTTCCCTTTATGGTTCTTCTGTGCCTCTATTCTCCTCTCTTCAGGGGCAGATGACGATCCTGTCTCATAACTTGAGTTTGTAACTCAGCTGAGTAATATGTCACATGGAGGATCTTAAAAGAGAAGTTTGAAAACCACGGTACTGGGAACTCATTTCCTATCTACCAAGTGGGGTGAAATACGTGGAAAAGCTCTTCTCTGACTGTTCACGTCTGTTTATCTGATCCTTCTGTAACCTACCGTTTGTATGATGGGGAAAAATGTCCAGTGATGGACTGCTGGAGGCAGGAGTGTTCCAGTAATTAGGAGGCGGTGACACCCTCTCTGTTTGGACTGATAGCTATAAAAAAACGAGTCAGTAGTCCATATGAGATCTTGCTGGCTGTTTTTCTGTTTTTTTAGCTACCCCAAAAATCAGACAGATAGAATGTGTTTATATTATTTACAAGAGTTGAAATTATATTCTGTAAGATTAAAATATTTTTTCTCTTGTCGTTTTAGACCAGTCTGCCTAGTTTTAAGTGAAATTCCTTTTATGTCTACTTGGTTTTTACTTGTGTCAACATTTAGGTGAGTCACATCAACTTCCATATAATATTTTCAGTATAGTTTTTATAAACCCATTAAAACTTTTTTACAGAGTGACTATGGTTTGAATTGACAATTCTCTGATGATGGTTTTTCTATTTTCCCGTACAGTATGGTGCCTCTTCTATTGAAGGATGAGCTCCTAATGCCCTCAGTTGTGACAACAATGGCATTTTTTATAGCTTGTGCAACTTCCTTTTCAATATTTGAAAAGACTTCTGAAGAAGAACTGCACTTGAAGTCCTTTTCCATTTCTGTTAGGAGATATCTCCCACGTTTTACATTTCTTCCCAGAATTATACAACATTTGGTAAGTTGTTCAGTTTTAAAGGAATGGTACTTAGCATGGCACTGTTTTTTAAAAAATTATTGTAATATCTTTTTTCTTATATTGCTTTTTTAAGATATAATTCATGGAAATTCACTCATTTAAAGTGTGCAATTCAGTGGTTTTAACTATGTGCACAAAGTTGTATAACCATTGCCATAGTCTAATTTTAGGTTATTTCCATCACCCCAAAAAGAAACCCTATACTCATTAGCAGTCATTCCCCATTGCACCCTCACCCCTAACCCCCAGCCTTGGACGGCCACTAATCTACTTTCTGTCTCTATAGATTTGCCTATCTGGGCATTTCATATAAATAGAATGTATTAGTCTTCTGGGGCTGTCATAGCAAAATACCACAGACTGGGTAGCTTTAAGCAACAGAAATTTATTTTCTCTCAGTTCTGGAGGCTAGAAGTCCACGATCAAGGTGCCATCAGCAGTGGTTTCTCGTGAGGCCTCTCTTCCTGGCTTGTAGGTGATCTTGCTGTGTCCTCATAGGCCTCTTCGCTGTGTATGTGTGTGTGTAGAGAGAGTTCTTTGGTGTCTCTTCCTCTGCTTAGAAGGACACCAGTCCTGGGCCAGCCCCGTGGCTTAGCGGTTAAGTGCACGCGCTCCACTACTGGCGGCCCGGGTTCGGATCCGGGAGCGCACCGACGCACCGCTTGTCCGGCCATGCTGAGGCCAAGTCCCACATACAGCAACTAGAAGGATGTGCAGCTATGACATACAACTATACTGGGGCTTTTGGGGGAAAAATAAATAAATAAAATTATGAGAAAAAAAAAAAGGACACCAGTCCTATCAGGGTAGGGCCCCACCCTTATGACCTCATTAACCTCCCTAAAATTTCTGTCTCCAAATGTAGTCACACTGTGGGTAGGGCTTCAACCTATGAATTTTGTGGGGACACAGTTCAGTCCATTACATGGAATTATACAAAATGTGGTGTTTTGTGACTGGCTTCTTGGAGCACGTTTTTGAGGTTCATCCATGTTGTAGCATGTATCAATACTTCATTCCTTTTTTATTGCCAAATTATATTCCATTATATGGATATATGACATTTTGTTTATCTGTTCATCAGTAGATGGACATTAGGTTGCTTCCACTTTTTGGCTGTTCTGAATAATGCTGCTGTGAAGATTTGTTACAAGTTTATCAGTGCACATATGTTTTCATTTCCCTTGAGTATATTCCTATGAGTGGTAATTCTGTTTAACATTTTAAGAAACTGCCAAACTGTTTTCCAAAGTGCTACATGATTCTACATTCCTATCAGACATATATGAGGGTCACAGTGTCTCCACATCCTTGACAGCACTTGTTATTTTTTTATTCCAGCCATCGCAGGGGATGTGAAATGGTATCTGTCTGTGGTTTTGATTTGCATTTCCCTAGTTACTGCTGATGTTGAGCATCTTTTTATGTGCTTATGGGCCATTTGTAGATCTTTGGAGAAATATCTATTCAGATACTTTCCCCATTTTGCATTGGGTTGTCTTCTTATTTTTGAGTTGTAAGAGTTCTTTATACATTCTTGATACAGATCCCTTACTAGACAGAGGATTTGCCAATGTTTTCTCCCATTCTGTAGGTTGATCTTTCACTTTCTTGATTTGCAGCACAAGAGTTTTGATTTTTATGAAGTCTAATATATCTATTTTTTCTTTTGTTGCTTGTGCTTTTAGTGTCATATCTAAGAAACCATGTGTAACAAAGGTCATGAAGAATTAAGTTTTATAGTTTTAGTTCTTATCTTTAGGTCACTGATTCATTGTGAGTTAATTTTTGTGTATGGTGTGAGGTAGCAGCCCAACTTTATGCAGCTGTTCCAGCACCAGTGAATTATGTTGGCATCCTTGTTGAAAATCAGTTTATCCTAAATGTAAGGGTTTGTTTCTGGACTCTCAGTTCTGTTCCACTCATCTATAATGTCTCTCCTTATGCCAGTACCACACTGTCTTTTTCTTTTTTTTTTCTCCCCAAAGCCCCAGTAGGTAGTTGTATGTCATAGCTGCACATCCTTCTAGTTGCTGTATGTGGGACGCGGCCTCAGCATGGCCGGAGAAGCGGTGTGTCAGTGTGCGCCCGCTGTGCGCCCGGGGTTCCGAACCCAGGCTGCCAGCAGCAGAGCACGCGCACTTAACCACTAAGCCACGGGGCTGGCCCCTACACTGTCTTGATTACTATAGCTTTGTAGTTAGTTTTGAAATTGAAAATGTGAGTCTTCCAACTTTGTTCTTCTTTTTCAAGATTGTTTTAGCTATTCTATGCCCCTTGCATTTCCATATTATTTTTAGGATCAGCTTGTCAATTTCTCCAAAAACCCACCTGAGATTTTGATAGGGATTGCTTTGAATCTGTGTATCAATTTGTGGAGTATTGCCATCTTAACAAGATTTAGTCTTCCAAACCCATGAACATAGGATGCATTTCCCTTTACTTAGGTATTTAATTTCCTTCAACAATGTTCTGTAGTTTTCAGTGTACATACAAGTCTTGTACTTCTTTTGTTAAATTTATTTCTAGGTATTTTATTCTTTATGATGCTTTTGTAAATGGAATTGTTTTCTTTCTTTATTTCATTTTTGTTTTGGTGAGGAGATTGGCCCTGAGCTAACATCCATGCCCATCTTCCTCTATTCTGTATGTGGGACACTGCCACAGCATGGCTTGATGAGCAGTGCTGCGAAACCCGGGCTGCTGAAGCGCAGAGCGTGTGAACTTAACCACTATGCCACTGGGCTGGCCCCTGGAATTGTTTTCTTAATTTCATTTTCATAATGTTCAATGCTACTGTATACAAATACAATTGATTTTTTAATATTGAACTTGTATTCTGTGCTATAAGTTGTTAGTGGATTCCGTATGATTTTCTGTATATAAGATGAGTCATCCACAAGTCATGATAGTTGTACTTCTTCCTTTCCAATCTGGGTGCCTTTTATTTCTTTTCCTTGCCCAATTACCCTGGCTAGAACCTCCAGTACAATGTTGAATACAAGTGGCAAGACTGGATATCTTCTCTTCTTCCTGATTTTAGGGGGAAAGCATCCAGTCTTCCATCATTAACCATGATGATAGCTGTGGGGTTTTTTTGAGATGGCCTTTATTTGGTTAGGAAGATCTCTTTTATTCCTAGTTTAGTGAACGTTTTTATCATGAAAAGGTGTTGGATTTTGTCAAACGCTTTTCCAGTGTCTAATGATATGGTCATGTGTTTTTTCCCTTTATTCTATTAAGATGGTATATTACATTGATTGCTTTTTGTGTGTTGAACTAATCTTGCATTCTTGGGATGAGTTCCACTTGATCATGATGTATAATCCTTTTTATATGCCACTGGTTTGGGTTTGCCAGTATTTTGTAGATGCCTTTTGCATCCATATTCATAAGGGATATGGGTCTGTAGTTTTCTTTTCTTATGATATCTTTGTCTGGTTCTGGTAGCAGGGTTAATACTTACCTCATGGAATGAGTTGAGAAGATACTGTCTTTCTACTTTTTGGAAGAGTTTATGATTGTTGTTAATTCTTCTATAAACATTTGATATGATTCACTAGTGCAGCTGTCTGGGCCTGGTCCTTTCTTTGTGGGACTTTAAGAATGATTAATTCCATCTCTTTACTTGTTATAGGTCTTTCTATTCAGACTTTCTGTATTGCTTGAGACAGTTTCAGTAGTGTGGTGTTCTAAGAATTTGTCTATTTCATCTGTATTATATAATTTGTTGGCATACAGTTGTTCATTGTATTCCCTTATCATCCTTTATTTTTATGTATGGTAAGGAATGATGTCCTTTTTTCATTCCCGATTTGGGGAATTTGTACCTTCTCTTTTCCTTGGTCAGTCTAGGTAAAGTTTGTTGGTTTCACTGATATTTTTACAGAACCAACTTTTGATCATTAATTTTTCTCTATTGTTCTTCTGTTTTCTATTTCATTGATTTTGGTTCTAATTTTATTATACCCTTTCTCATGCTTGCTTTGGGTTTGGTTTACTCTTATTTATCTAATTTCTTAAAGTTCAAAGTCAGGTGATTGATTTGAAAACTTTTTTCCATTTTTTTATTGAGGTAACATTGGTTTATAACATCACATAAATTTCAGGTGTACATCATAATATTTGGATTTCTGTGTAGATTACACCATGTTTACCACCCAAAGACTAATTACAGTCCATCACCATACTCATGTGTCTAATCACCCCTTTCGCCCTCCCCCCTCCCCTCTGGTAACCACCAATCCAATCTCTGTCTCTATGTGCTTGCTTGCTGTTGCTTTTATCTTCTATTTATAAGTGAGATCATACAGTACTTGACTTTCTCCCTCTGACTTATATGGCTTAGCATAATACCCTCAAGGTCCATCCAATTTGTCACAAATGGCAAGATTTCATCTTTTTTTATGGCTGAGTAGTATTCCATTGTGTACATATACCACATCTTCTTTATCCATTCGTCCCTTGATGGGCACTTAGGTTGCTTCCAAGTCTTGGCTGTTGTGAATAACGCTGCAATGAACACAGGGGTGCATGTATCTTTACGCATTGGTGTTTTTCAAGTTCTTTGGATAAATACCCAGCAGTGGAATAGCTGGATCATATTGTACCTCTATTCTTAATTTTTTGAGGAATCTCCATGCTGTTTTCCATAGTGGCTGCACCAGTTTGCACTCCCACCAGCAGTGTATGAGAGTTTCCTCCACATCCTCTCCAACACTTGTTATTTCTTGTCTTGTTAGTTGTAGCCATTCTGACAGGTGTAAGGTGATATCTCATTGTAGTTTTGATTTGTATTTCCCTGATAATTAATGGTGTTGAACATCTTTTCGTGTGTCTGTTGGCCATCTGTACATCTTCTTTGGAGAAATGTCTGTTCAGATCTTTTGCCCATT